ACGCCGCTGCTCATGGCGTGCTTCCAGGGCCACCTCGAAAACGCCCAGCTGCTGCGCGACGCCGGCGCTTCGGTCGACCAGGCCATGAATGACGGCCGCACGCCGCTGCTCATGGCGTGCTGGCAGGGCCACCTCGATATCGTTCGACTGCTGCGCGACGCCGGCGCTTCGGTCGACCAAGCCCATGACGATGGCGTCACGCCGCTGATAATGGCGTGCCGGATGGGCCACGTCGAGATCGCCCAGCTGCTCCTCGAGGCTGGCGCGGCGGCCAACCAAGCCCGCAACAACGGCGTCACGCCGCTGCTCGCCGCGTGCCAGGAGGGCCGCCTCGAGTGCGCCCGGCTGCTCCTCGAGGCCAGCGCGGCGATCGACCAAGCCGACGAGCAAGGCATCACGCCGCTGATCATTGCGTGCCGGCAGGGCCACCTCGAGGTCGCCCGGCTGCTCCTCGAGACCGGCGCGGCGGTCGGCCAAGCCACGGAGGACGGCTCCACGCCGCTGCTCGCCGCGTGCCAGGAGGGCCGCCTCGAGACCGCCCGGCTGCTCCTCGAGGCCGGCGCGGCAGTCTGCCAAGCCCGCAACAACGGCGTCACGCCGCTGCTCATGGCGTGCCACAACGGCCACCTCGAGGTCGCCAAGCTCCTCTCCTCCTACGGCGCCTCCCGCGCCGTCGTGCCGCCCGTCGGCACGCCTGAGGAGGTTGCAACCGAAGAAGGCCACGCCGACCTCGCCGCCTGGCTGGTCGCCAGCCGCGGCTGGATGCCGCTCGCGCACCTTGAGACCCTCACCGCCGCCCGCGTTCTCTCCCTGCTGCGCAGCGGCGCAAGCCTGCACGAGGGCGGGCCGACGCCGCTGCAGCGCGCCGAGGGCGGCGAGGGCGAGGCGGCGGCGCTGATCCGGCGGGCGGCGGCGCCGTGGTCGCCGGCAAGCCACTCGCTCTTCCCCGCGGCGGCCCGCGCGCGGGCGGCGCTCCTCGTCCTCTCGCTCTACGAGATCCACGAGCGGCAGCATCTCGACTCGGCAGGAAACACGAACGGCATCGCGGCGCGCGACTTTGTCGCGTGCGTGCTGCGTTTCGCGGTCACGCGCGAGACGCAGTAGGGAGGAAGGAAGCACAGATTGCCACGTGCACGTCACTCAGACCGCCTCTCGGCGGCGCGCTTGAGCACGTTGCGGCACCCTCGTTCTCGCTCGGGACGCGAGCGCGCGCCTCGAGGCTTTGATTCACTTACGTCCCTCACCCGCCAAGGCAGGTGCATATCTGCTAGTCCTAGATCCTAGTGTGTGCTCACACACCACTAGCACTGATCGTCGCAGTTTCTTTTTTGCAGTCGCGCCAGCGGTAGGTCCGAATTCTTTAGTGCCAGTGCGCGACCACTCCTCGGCACAGCTGGTAAAATTATTTTTTTCTTTTCACTCGCACCTCACTCTCAGGCTCACGCTCCTCAGGCTGCACGCCCAGGCGCGTGTCAAGCTCCTGCCTCTGTCCGAGTATGGTGTATGCACTGGTTGGGTAGTAGTCTAAGTTCTGAGCCTCGAGGCTTAGCGGGTCTAAGTGTGCTCTGGCACGCTGGGTGCTTGCGCGGTCTAAGATCAGCGGGAGCCTCTTACATCGGCTAAGTCGGCCGTGGCACGGCCTGGGGCCAGGAGGCTCCCACCGTGATCAACGATACGGCGCAGCCCCCACATTTTCTTCGCCTGCGGCGGGCGATCGATCCTCTTCATGCTTAGCAATCGCCGCTTCAGCATCCTCCTCTTCCGATTTTCGTTGCTGCTCCTTCATTCTTGAGCGACGTCTAGCCAAACAGTTCTCACATGACACGAAGCTCCTCAAGCTTAATCAAATGCGTGACGGTGAAGGCGTGAAGCCTGTGTGTGCTGGTCCTCTGTGAACGATCCGCGCGTGAGCGGTAGCATAGGGCCTTGTTGGCAGCAGCCAGCTTGTTGCGCTGCTTCGTTGCGATGAGCTGATTGGGATCGCAGAAGTGCATGCCAAGCACCGCCACGGTCTTGAAGCAGAACACATCGCAACCGCATCGTCCGCACTGCCATCGGCATGCCGCGCCCGCCGCTTCGCCGCAGCCGCCTTAAGGCACGCATAGCGGCAGGCCATGGTACGGTGCGCGTACTTGAGCAGGCGTTGCGCGCCGTGAGTAGCGCACTGGCCCT